GGGGGGGGAGGGCAAATTGATCTGCAACACACCCCTCCCTCCCTCCTGCACTAGGGACGTTTTGTACTGTTTCCTCTTCTACTTACACTTTATATTTCGGCAGTGCCTCCATAGTTACCCATTGTTAGACAGTTGTCCGTGTATAATGTGACCGACTGGAGTACCCTGCTGCCGTGTCTAGGTTATTGACATTTCAGTAAGATAACACTTTAAAGTTGCCTTTTAGAGACAATTTAACATATGTGGCGCGGGGATAAGCTGTATTTTTTTTAAATAAGGGGGTGCTGACGGAGATTTCCAGCTTACTCTCTCTCTCTGACAACCGGAGAACCCTGAAAAAAACACGTGTTGGTGCAAGGGACCCCATACCTTTTCATGTCTTATCGAGTCTAACCCCGGCCGTCTTGGTGAAAGGCCAGTGCAGTTTACACTGAGCTATCTGGCCACCCTACAAAAAGAAATCGTGGATCTGTTCGCTAACATAGCATTTCGTAAGCATAACATAATAATTAATAGATGAAATGTACATTATAGGAATAAGTGATACAGAAACATCAGCGATGAACGTTATTCTTGATATCGATAACACGTCATGGTGCACGCTACTAATTAATATGGAGCCCTATCCAAATTGGGACAGTTTGGCTAGGAGTAACGATGAAACGTATTTCATATTTACAAACCCGATTTTGTTTTGATATAAACATACAAAAGTCTGATGCAATACATTTCTGTCAATCTGAATCAAGGTGATGACGATCGCCCGTTGGGTGCTCTAACCAATCAGTATCGTTCACAAACGCCTAAACCACGCCCCGAAATGCATATCACATGTCAATCAAAGTGGCGTGATCTTGTTTCATGCACAGCTAACCAATGGTTTTCGAGAATATGATTTCATTGCTGCCGAGCATGCGCGAGTTTGTCAATTTTGGTTTCCGAAAAGTGTCGTCTGCAAAATAAAGGCAGCCATATTAGAAAAATTGGTGTCCGCTGAAGTTTTGAACAGTGAAAATGGAGGAAGAATGAGAAAGGGCCGAAATAAGATACCAAACAACGTTCTGACAATGAAAAACTTTTGAAAGTAAGAATTTCCATTTGCTTTGAATGTTTTAAATTTTTCATATTGCATATAAGATCACTTTCTTCCTTTTTCGAAAACCATGGTTTATCAGAATCGTTCAGACAGTAAGTAGAATACAGTAATAAAAAGTCCATAGGAGTTTGTTTCAAAATACTTTTATTCCGTCAATTTCCAACATTTCGACACATTTGGGCTCAAATCCCATGACGTTGTCTTATTACAATTGGGATTCATGTCTTTTGACTCAACTTCACATTGGAATATTACAGTAGTATTAGTTCCGTCTTTAATTGGCGTGGACCACATCAACAGCGTCATGTTCTAACCTCCAATTTCTAAACTCAAATTGAAGATGAAGGTATCATCATTACAAGAAGCTTCGTTTCCAGAGTAGTGTGATCGGATGAGGCAGACAATTCTTTATGATGGCACATTTCATTCTGGTAAAATTGGGAAATGGCAATGACTTCCGTTATATTGTGTCTTATACTTATGAGAAAGATGCAAATCAAAGCAAAACTTGTAAAGCTAAAACGTTTCTGATATTTTTTAAATCGCGTTTTGTTAAGACATTATTTTAATACCATACTGAACAAATACATAGCGTCGATGACCATATATGGCAATATGTAGAGAGATAAGTATTAATCCACAAAAGCCGAATCTGCTCGAGATATAACCCATGTCAAGAAATTCTTCCTTATTCTCGTTAAAAAATTATGAAGACTTCGTCTCTGTTTACAGACCACTTTAGCCTCCCCTTAAGTGGTTTCACTGTAATGGCGTAAATGTAATTACATTTCAATTGAGAACTTAATGCAGATAGTATTGGGGAAGACCTACAATGTATGCTATGAAATATGTTGTCCCGTTTCCTTGTTTCCAAATATCAACAGTTTGAACTTTTGCGGATTTATATTTTACGAAATGTGACGAACCTCTGAAGTTATAGAAGTTGTCCATAAAAGTTCCGCTGGGAAAAATCATAATAGAAGGCTTTAGAAATCGACAACTATTTCGGTTTGTTTTGAAACAAATATTTTCAACGGGTGTACGAAAGTATGTTGCAATGTATTCATGTCAATCTGAAATGTAACATCATCACGGTAATGACAATAATTGGCCTTCGGATGCTGTAGCCTATCAGGACCGTTCTCAAACGCCTGAACTGGATATCGCATGTCAATCAAACAGGTATGATAGTGTTTCGAGGATATAACGCCGATGCTGACGAGCATGCGTAAGTGTGTTAATTTTGGTTTCCGGATAGTGTCGTCTGCAAAAAGAAGCAGTCATGTTAGAAAGTTTGGCGTCTGCTGAACTTTTGAACGGAAACATGGAGGATGAATGAGAAATGGGCCTTACGAAGACACTAAATATTGTTTTGACCATGAAAAAAATAGCTGTAAACAAGGTTTCAAATCATTTCAGTTCAATGTAAACATAAATTTAATAAAAAAAAAATCACCTTTTCCCCCAAAACCATAGTTAATCAGAATCGTTTTGGCAGGAAGTAGCATACAGCAATAAAAGTTTCATTCGAGCTGTTTCACAAGCCTTTTATCCCGTCAATCTTTAACATTTCGAGACATTTGTGTCCATATTCAATGACTGTGTCGTGTTATAGCACGGTGGTTATAGGGATACATGTCTTGTGACTCAACTTCACTTTGGGATGTTACAGTAGCTTTTGTCCCGTCTTGAATAAGCAAATGTCATGTCAACGCTGCCAGATTATGAGCTCCAATTTTTAAACTTGAGTTAAAGATTGAACTCTCACCACATAAAAGTAACCACATTTTCCAGAATATTGTGATCGGAGGAGGCTGAAACTCTTAATAGTGGCACGTTTCATTTTGGTGATAGAGGAAAATGGCAATGAGTTTCGTGACCGTCGTTGTATTTTGATTTTGACTGATAAGGAATGCAAATCAAACGAGGGCCACAACAGTCGAACCTGTTCGAGAGATCATTCTCATTAAAAATGATCGCCTCTATTTACAGACTACTTTTATCCTTTGTAATACATTTTTATTGAGAGCTTAATACAGATTTCACACATATGGATAAGGGGAAGACGTATTATATAGAAATATGCAAGTTGGCATGTGTCTTTTTTTCGAACAAAAACACTTTGAACTTTTGATGATTCATTTTTACGAAATGTTAAAAACCTCAGCCCCACAGTGGTTCTGCTTGGAAATAGTCTAATACATGTATGAATAAAAAGTACTTAAATTGACAAAAATGTACGATTTTGTTTTGAAACAAACATTTTTAACTGGTGTATGAAAGTCCGATGCAATATAACATTATCGCAGTGATGGCAATCGTATATTTGGCGTTGTACCGTTCAAATGTAAATCACGGGAAGAATTTTTCGGGCACTTCAGACTAAATGTTAAGATGTAGCTTTCCGCTGTCGGGTACGGTGTAACATAACGTCGCTAGAATATAATTTATTTCGGTATTTTCCAACGCTCCAGAAAACGGTCGATTTTTTTTCAAGATGAGCAGCTCAAAACAGATTTCTGAACTTTTGGTCGAAGATATGCATGAAGTCGGCAGTGACGGAAAGCAAGGTAAGTCCTCCAACCCGAAATTAAATCGCCCTTTTATGCATATGAGTCGCAACGTGCTGTTCAATATAGGCGCCTTTACAAATGTAAATTGGTCAACTGTAACGTGTTAATCTATATCGAACAATCTCCTCATCCAGATGAATATATTTCAAACAAATCGATTAATTTGTTATACACAACTTCAAAGCAGGTTATTACGGTATCCCTGATCTAGAATGCCAGTCATGATCTAGTGTATACAGCGTACAGTATACCTATACAAATGTCGTGTACACTTTGGTCACGGCGGGGACGGGGGGCAGTGATGCGACATGCCGAGTGCTACGGACATAGGAAACTCTGGCCAGGGTTCGATCATTGATACATCAAACAGAGGTCAATATGACGCCTTGGCACCTACAACCGTTTTACACTTTGTTGACAATAGTCCAAGATAGCTGTCAGTGTAATTTATGAATATAGGAAATGTTGGCACTAATATCGCGTAACAGTCATTGGCGTCCCGCGCACGTGTTTATGGAATACTGCACTACGCCAAGGTGACGCAATCGGGGAATTGAATCAATTAACTTATATAAGTTGGCAAACGGAAATAGTTTGTGGAGTACAACTGTTTGTGTCATTATCCTATGTAACAATGTACACTAAGTATAGATTTAATTGGAACACTAGTAACACAGTGTATTCATGGTGGCGGTAATAATTGTACTCTACACACAAACTTTTGAAATGCACATACATACCAGATTTATAACAACCACCTGTTTATAACATCCCTCTGTGTATATCTACCACATGTTTATAACATCCCTCTGTATATAACTACCACATGTCTATAACTAACACCTGTCTATAACATCCCTCTGTGTATGTCTACCACATGTTTATAACATCCCTCTGTATATAACTACCACATGTCTATAACAAACACCTGTTTATAACATCCCTCTGTGTATATCTACCACATGTTTATAACTACCACCTGTCTATAACATCCCTCTGTATATAACTACCACATGTCTATAACAAACACCTGTTTATAACATCCCTCTGTGTATATCTACCACATGTTTATAACATCCCTCTGTTTATATCTACCACATGTTTATAACATCCCTCTGTATATAACTACCACATGTCTATAACTAACACCTGTTTATAACATCCCTCTGTGTATATCTACCACATGTTTATAACATCCCTCTGTATATAACTACCACATGTCTATAACTAACACCTGTTTATAACATCCCTCTGTATATATCTACCACATGTTTATAACATCCCTCTGTATATAACTACCACATGTCTATAACTAACACCTGTTTATAACATCCCTCTGTGTATAACTACCACATGTATATAACTAACACCTGTTTATAACATTCCTCTGTATATAACTACCACATGTCTATAACTAACACCTGTCTATAACATCCCTCTGTATATATCTACCACCTGTTTATAACATCCCTCTGTATATAACTACCACATGTCTATAATTATCACCTGTCTTTAACTAACACCTGTCTATAACTACCGCCTTTCTATAGCATCCCTCTGTATATAACTACTACCTGTCTATAACTACCGCCTGTCTATAACTACCAACTGTCTATAACTACCACCAGTCTATAACTACCAACTGTCTATAACTACTACCAGTCTATAACTACCAACTGTCTATAACTACTACCAGTCTATAACTACTACCAGTCTAAAACTACCACCAGTCTATAACTACCAACTGTCTATAACTGCCAACTGTCTAAAA